GCTTCAGCGTTTATAAAGCGCCTATTGTTGTTATTATAAAATTTAAACTGTTATGCATTTATTTATAGTTTTTTTTGTATAAATATTAAAAAGTCAGTTTTTAATCGCCTTATTGCTTTGATCGCTGCGTAAACCCCATCAAAATCCGTCTAGTAGTTTCCGAGTAAATCGCTAACTGATAGCCAGACAGAGCAGTGAAGGACTTTCTTTTAAAATATATATCTGTATATTTGTATGTAGTTTTAGAGTGAACAAAAAGCCCGAAACCCGCAACAATGTGTGTGATAATAAAAAAAATATTTCGAATTCTTACATTTTACGCTTACGATGTTGCACGCTAAAAAAACTTCTCTTCCAAGAAATTTTCTTACAACTAATTTACAATAAAAATATCTGTTTATTACACACACACGCGACACCGAAATATACTGCAACTCAGAGAAAAATTCTACCGTAATCAGCAAACGTATCGTTCATTTTACATTTTTCATATATTCTTTAAATTTAAAACTAGATTCAAAACAACAAATGTCAATGCTTAACGCCTCTCATTAATATTATTAACCAAAACAAAACGTGCAATCAAAATTTAAAAAAATTGCACTTCTTCATTTTTCATTGAAAATTTCAAAACTTGAGAAATGCAAAATCCGATAGATTTTTTAGGCTTTGAATTTTTGAACTGCGGTTGACATTCCTGTGGAAATGTCCATACACGTATGTCATAAATAAGTTTTTAGAGAAGTTAAGTTCCGAAATCTCTTATTCGAACATTTCAGATTTCCTTTTGTTTGGGAATTTTACACGTAAGTTATAATTGTGAGTGCTTAATAACTTTCATCCAGAATACTTAATTTCATTCTTAGCTGCTCAAAAACCCGTTTATAAAGAACATATTGTATGTATGTATGTAGTCTCATTTTCATAATTTTCATTCCGTATGAGGCGCCTATAAATTTTGAGTAAATGTCTAACTGACTTTGGTAATTATTATTTCTTTTTACGTTAATTGTGTAGAGCTATTTCCTGCATATGCATGTGTATATATGTATATATGCACACTACTGATATTTTTGGCTTATCAATTGTTCAATAAAAATTTAAAATACAAGAATAATTTCCCTCTACATTTGAAAATGTGTAATATTTGGGAAATATGCACATAAAAGATAACTGCAAATAAGATTCACATATCAATTAGTAATGGTCATTATGAAAATGTGCCACACCAGCAAACAAATACAATACACTCAAACTCAAACATACATACATATGTACATATACGAGTATGTACAGAAAGGCTAACAAATGCGGCCCAAAGCACAAAATACCACGTCAACTGGCGAGCATCACATCACCAACACACACTCCTTCAATAGTATAACAACAACTACAATACAATAGTTAATAATATTTTACGCTTTAATAAGGCCAACATGTGTCCTGCTAATCAACTACGTCCAAACAGAGCCCCCGACAAATGTGCAACAAACACGTAAAATTCACGTCAACTTTCGGCTGAAGAACCATCAAATAACCCCCAGCCCTTGGGCAACTGGCCAGCAGCAGCCAACACAAATCCCAAGTATTAACTGCGTGTGTTACTGTAATTACAAGCAGTGTATGAATGGTGGACCCGGCAGAGGGCACATGTGGATCTATGCCAGGCTGAACTCGTAATGTGGGCAATTTTGGCAGATCGTCATTTGCACATACAGTTGCAATAAACTTATGCTTTTAAATGTGGCACAAATTGGCAGGAGCCACAACAATCGTTTAATTGCTGGGATCGGCGCTGGGACTGTGGCAGCCCTTCGTACTGGCCGCTCATTAAATTACTATAATCCACTTAATATTAATTGCCCTGATTTAAACATGTCTCATGGCTCACAAACTGCGAATCTCATCTCATGTGCAGTCGCACACACACAGACAAACATATGGATGTATAAATGTTCCGAGGCATATTTTTATTGCAATTATTTTTGTTAAGCTTCCTGCACCGAACCAACCATTCGGGTCATTAACGTGGCCGAATCGTGATTATTTGCAGTTCACGTCAAGTGCTTATTACATTTAATAGTGCCAGCTCCTGTCTGAAGAGTACGAGCATATTTCTCTTGTGCATTTCAGATTTCTTTTGCTTTGACAGTTTCCATGCTCACGAAGAGCAGAGGGTCATACCCGCTACGTTGTTACTGGAGGTAGATTAACAATGTTCATCAAACGGCGAGTGGTGTTGCTAACCTGTGCCAGGGGATTATTATTATAGATTACGGACTTCTTCATCATCAAAGGGCTTTCTGCTGTTTCGGCAGAGGCCGCCCAAAAGTAAGAGAAAAAAACTGACTTAATCGTTTTTTCAATTATTTGTGCATTAGTTCAAGGTGATTCTTATGACCAGACTGCCATCTGTCAATTTAAGTAAAAAATTCGGAGATTTTGGACTCTCCATAGCATAACTTTAAAACATTAATAAAATACTTAACTTTATTTTGATAATTTTTAATGACACAAGTAGTGAAAATTCTATTGTTCTTTGGTTCTTCGTACATTTAGAAATGTTTCCAAAAATCAAATGCAAAGCTTATCAAGTCCTTTATCATCTCACTGTATTAAGGTTCCTTTGGCTTTTCTATGGACGAGGTTTTCATTCGGTATTCTTTTTTGTTTTGACATTGGAAACGGGGTCAAAATTTTTACCTTGCATATTTGAAACATTCATAGAGACTTTTCGTCCTCCTCGGATGGCTCGATGTTAGCTTCCAAGCGAACCATGCTCTACCTTGAATATTTTTAGGTTTGTCCAACAGTTACATGCCAGCACTGCAAAGGCAATAACTTTCTAATTGCTTGCACATATGCGCATATGTATATACATAGGTTTGCGTGTAATGTGTAATGAATACTATTAGTCCATGTTTTGGGGAGGTTAATATATAAAAATTATCTATTGTTATGTTAAGATTATACTAAATTTAATGTCAAAAAAAGAGTTCGTGCCTTAACATACATATGTATGTATGTATACAATATGTACATCTGAACATATAAATGCATATGTGTGTTCGTATGTCTTTTGCAATATCACATCCATTTGTATTGTGCGACATGTGTTCAGGCAGCTATTATGGCGCAGTTAAATTCATATGCGTATGTACATATATATATAAATCTATATATGTACATACATACATATATAGTTATTTTATACATTACTAACTACAATAAATGAGCTTCCCATTATTTAACCCTTTATTTTGAATTTGTCATTATGTCTACATTTGATTGTATATTAATTTTTAGGTATGTAAAGGGTCTTTGTAGTCCTTTATTTCCCAAACGATTTCCTTTTAATTTATGCATTTTAATAATGTGCGGCAATTAAAATTTCGATTTCGAAAACTATAAAACTATAAAATTGCGTGCGCAGCAGCTGGTGATGACGACGGAGTTGAAAGTTTCAAACGAGAAACGGCAGATCTTTTAAGGCGACATGTGGGAGGATTGGCTTTAAGGGTGAGGCTGTATATACATACATACATACTCCTATACTCGTATACTACTACTCGTATCGTAGTATGTACAGCCATACACATACATATGTATTTTGTGTTTACTTATGTGAATAAATTTTAATGATTCGTGTGAGAATATTTTCTAAGAAATTCTATTCTTTTCTAATGGAAAACTTCCTATGCGAAAGGGTGAAGACAAGAGCTCACCTCTGGGAAAGTGTGTTAAGAGGACGTTCGGTCGGCTGGAGGCGGGTATTCAATCCAGGATCCAATTAAACCTGAAACGCTATTCTAATGGCGGTCGTGACTATTTATTTTCGCACACAAAGCACTCTATATCGGACTCTCACTACCAAGAGGGCGTAAGAGACAAAAGTAAATTTTTAAGTAGGCCTTATTTTGTAATCTCAAAAATAGTGAAATCTGTCCAAAATCAAGCGATGAATAAGTATAAACATACATATGTATATACATATATACAATTTTTGAGAATAATCATTTAAATTTTGTCAACAGTTGATGTCCAAAGGTGATAAGGCCAAAATGTGAAATAGCCTTTACATTTAGAGCGCTCGTTAAGAACTTTACTCTCCTCAAGTACATACAAACATAACTATAAAAAATCATCGATTTAGAGAAAGCATGCTCTGATAAACCTTTCCAAACACTAATGATTTCTAGTTGCGTTTGTAAATCTGTTTTTACTTTGAAATATTGTACATTGACCTCGATCTTAGTTGTACCAGCTCGAGATTTTCGTCTGCTAGCGGTGGTGGTAGGATTCCAATGACACCAGAGTTGAAGTATTATATTATGGATGGTTTTTAAGACCTGTCGGTAATACGTTGCGTTCAACGGTTATGTTACGTATTGCTGAAGACGTAGGTTTGTATGTGGCTTCCCCCGGCTTCTATTTGTCTGAGATACTAGCCGCTACTTTAATGTTTTTGGTGACAAAAATCCTGCCATCTCACTACATCATTCTTCCTTCCCCTAGCCCTGCTTTCACTACGCATAGCTTCCCATTAAGAAAATTTGATCTCTGATTTCAATATACTCAGGGATTTCCCAAAAAAAATTATTTCATTTAAATTTGCTCATGGAACGTAATTATTTTCGATTTTATTTATTAGTTTGCAAACTTAAATCTGTTGAATACTTTTATGTATGTATGTTTGCAAATGGAAAATTATTTTATTATATTTTATTTGTACTCTCTCGCTCTTTGTCTCATATTTTGGTTGTAAATAGGTACTCGTACGCCAAAGAGCAGAGAGTGGTTAAGCGAACAAAGCAATTTACGCCATAAATGGAAACGCTGAGCTTCAGGAGAGCAGTGCTATAAAGCACGTGTGTATATATGTGCTCATGTATATGTATTTTACCATAGCAGTTTTTGAGAGGCATTTACCTTGGGAGATCTCTTCTCGAGCGCACTATACAAATAAACGAGAGGTGAAGAATTCATTTTTTTTTTGTTGCCCGCATTTTTATTTAATTTGATTTTTATCGTAGCAAATATCACATTTCAATGGGATAAGTAAATATGGGAGGCAACTTTAATATATTTTCATAATTTCGTAAATATAACATTTTTTATATAGGTTTTCACTAGAAAAAATTAAAACTCCATGTTTATTGGATATTAATAATCTTAGAAAATGAACAATTCAAATATTTTATAGCTCTTATTTTTAATAATACATTTAATTTTGTTGATGCGCTTCCGTGCTATAAGTTAAGGTTGATTTTCAAAAACTTCTGTTTTAAATGCTTTCAATCAAATTTAGTTATATTGTTGTTATTGTGTTTGTATGTATTGAACAAAGTTTACTAAAAGAAGAACAAAATTGGCTGCTTATAACATACTAGTCAGCGCGAGCTCCTTATTGAACCGCTGCTGTTTATTGTTTTTCCAAGTACTGATCGAAAAGGTAGACACCCAATGAGGGGTCGCGTTGGTTCATGATCTTCGATAGGTCATTGACGTAACCGGATAGTTGGCGTACAGAATCAGCTTGTCTGCCCAAATATTTCTCTTCTACAAAGTGAGCGGTATGAGGGTCGTGTGGACGTCCGTGGGTAGATTGGTAGTGCACATGTGTGGCATCAGCGGTCAAAGTCTTCTCAATATCCAAAGCGATACCCAAAGAGTGTAATTCGTCTTCCTCCAATTTCAATTTGCTTTGTGCAATGGAGTTGGGGTGTTGGCTGATGGCACGGAAGTCAACCTGACCACCACGGCGTGTCACGTGCTTAATCAACTCGATGGCATCATCGAAGGAGCGGTCCGACATCGACTTGTACAACTTGTTGAATCCGGGGCGGTTCTTTTGATAGGAATTGTAGAATGCAGACATCAACAGATATTGGTAGGATTTGTGCAGGTTCAAGTTAATGTACGACTGAATGCCAGATTCGACGTTGTCAATGCCACCGAAACGTGCATGGCAAATAACTGGAGCTAAGAGTAAGAAAAAGCGGAAGGGAGAAAACGGAAGTGTTTTAATAAACTTCTAAATGCAATAATTTTATTTGTTGATGGAGTGCACATACTTATGTATGGATGTATGTAGATATAATTATTGTATTATTGTTTTTTACTTACTTTGAACGTTGTTGGTGCAGCCCACAGTCACATTCGTGTGACAGGCGTAGTTCTCAGCACTCGCCATGGCAATGATGCCCGCAAACAGAGCGACCGCGATAAAAGACTTCATTACTTTCGTTTTCTGCAAAGAAATGTAAACTTTCTTTCAATAACAGCAATTTATTAGAACTTTTAATTTTTATATTATTGACACAATAAGCAAAGTACAATTTTTGATTATTTGTTGTGTTATTGCGTTGCAAGTATTTTATTCGATACTTTGCTTTGTTTTTATTTCTACATACACGTTTGGCACACCAGAAACTTTATTCGTTTGTTTTTCTAGAGCGACAACCGACGTGTTTGAGTTGTGTATTCGAAATAGTGTCTCTTTTAAAGTGTTTGGCAAATTTAAAATGTTTCACTTCGGGTCACCAAGAAGTCATTGGATATTATTGAGCTTGAATTCGATAACACATATGGCTTACTTACATAGTAATTCCCGAATCTTAAATATGTCAATTGTCTGAAATAAAATTTATTGCAGTATTTAGAGTTAACTTATTCTAAACGTCACTCTCTTTTTGTTACAAATAGTAGATGTGTTTCAATGAAATGAAATTTTCCAACTGTCGCTTATAATGCCTGTGTCTGGCCGTTTCTATTCGATCGATAATGCTTCACATAAATACAAGCGTTTGCATTTGTGTGTGTATGCATTTATGTAGCCAAAGTAGTGACTCGTTGTTTTTGCACTCGACGCATTGACTCTCTGCTCAGTAGATAACACATTTCAGCAATATGGCGGCCACTTGGTATGCTCTTGGTTGAGTCGGTTTGATATGGCCAGTTACCAACACATTTGCACCGATGAGATGTGAATCACTCGCTTTGTGTTCATGGAGATTTCGAGAGATTTCAGGGTTGTCGAAACTCATAAAGATGGGAATGAAACTCACGAACGTGTACTTACAAGATAAACCTACTGTCGCCAATGATTGATTTATCATTGACAATTTAAGAATTAAGTATTGGCCAGTCTGCAAATCAATAAACCTTTATTTTTAGAAACAAATTAACAAAAATTTCGAAGTTCCTTCGTATTTGCTTATAAAATTTAAATGATTTGTAAAAGATTTCATAGGGATAGTGCTTTCATCCATTCGAACTATATGACCGAGCTGAACTATGTCAATATCATCATCTAGCTCTTACAGCTCATCGTTCCTTCGTCTGTGGTATTCGCACAAAGGACCATAAATCGTTCGCAAACCTTTTCTCTCGAAGACTCCAAGGACCGATTTATCAGATGGTGACGTCGTCCACGCTCCTGCGCCATACAGTGGGATTGTAGAGTTTGGTATTCGTTCGCCGAAATAGGATTTTACTTAGTCAGAAATTTACCTTTTGCATCTATCAAACGTCCCAAGCCATTAGTTATGTGACTCAAAATCATATTAGCAAAAAACCATCTTAATTCTAGATAATTATACAATTCATCTGAAACTTTTTGTACTTGCAAAGAGAGACTAAAAGTTTTAGTGAATTGCACTTTTCTGCCCAAAATTTCCTGCAGTTGCCTTTAATTTTGTCTCCAAACGAGCTTTAAAAGTATAAAGGCAACTTAAATTAATTCTTCATTTCTTAGTTTCATGTAACGAGAACAGCATACTTCTCTCAATACTTTTCCTGTTTTTTCGTAAACAAACACTACACGGTAACAAAAATCCTTAAACATTTCAATTACAATTGAAAAATATTGTGTTTGAAGTGATGTTGCATTGTGTTCCTTTTTGTGCTTTTACAATATATTACTTTTCAAAAATGTTGTTTAATACAAAATAAATTGCTAAAGAAGGACGTTTCTTAAGTTTAATGATATTTAGTATATACATAAATTCCTTTGTCTTTTAATTAGTTACTGTATGTAGTGTATACAAATATATAAAGTATGTACATACAAATCCAAGCCAGAACCTGTAATGCCACTCAAAGATGCCTAAGTCTCCAGTTATGTATATGAATATTTAATTAAACTTGAAGAAACTTCTTTGGCAACAGACCTTTGAAAATGTTTGGAAACGTAAGAGATATTCGATGTGTTTCAACTTTTAAATAAGGGCTAAAAGTTGTTTGCCATTCATACATGTGAATATGCGGAAGTGCATCTTCCCTTTACCAACCACGAAATGCCTGGTAACCCTAGTCGACCTCTCTGACGTCAGATATGCGACTCAAAGAAGCATGGGTATCGAAGGCAACAAAGGAAAACAAAAACAGCTGACTCAGGTCAACGGCGGCCACCATTATTGTCGCCATATTGGATTACACAATTTGAATTCTCTCCACATAACACGCCAAGTAGTAGAGAGTCCACAAAAATCCCAACTGACGAAATGCAGACCTATGTATGTATGTATATATGGGTGCACAAATAGACTTGCATTGGAGTCGTGTGTTTGAAAATGTATAAAAAAGAGTAAATACTGATATGAGTAATATTATTGAATAAACCAACGAGAAGTGCAAAACAAAAGATTTACAGCCCTCCGACATATTGAAAAAATATAAGATAACGAAAACTACACACAAGTGAGTGCCTAAATACCAAATGCGAGTATATTTACATACATATGTATGCACGTTTTTGCCATAAGCGAGAGATTAGTGAGGCGCATTTAAAAGTGTTAGGTTCGTCTCGTCAACCAGTCAGTACGTATTGGCATTCACTAGCAACGGAGAGAATCTTACGACACGCTGAAAAAGATTTTCGTTTCAAACCGAATTCATAATTCAATCAACTTGTGATTATTTAATTGTACGATCGACCATTGTGCTTAGAACTCTACTATCAGGCGCCTAGTAACGCATTAACTCATCAAAGGCCAACGAGATTGTCTTCTATACCAGTGTGTATAAAGGCACAGAGGCGTTTGCAAATCATATCAGATCGAGAAGTCGTTTGAACCAATTGTCAAACCCAAAATTTGATCGAAAACAAAAACAAAACGTTCGTGTTTCCTCCATCATTTAATTTTTGTTTTATCTTTATCACTTAGTGATAGTAAATCGGCTATTTGCTTTTCAAAATTTTGTGCACATAACTATTTACATAGTGAAGTTCGACGCAAATATATTTAGTTTAAAAGATATTTAACTGCAGTGTGTTAATTAAATTTATTCATTTTCTTTTGTGTAGTTTGTGAAGAGACACGCAATCAAACAACGCGAAGTGTGAAAGAAGATAGAAGGTCCTGAAAATCGCCGCTGAAAGAAAAAATGATGAAATTATTTGCTGCACTTTTGTTGTTGGCTGTTGCGGTCAACGCACAAATGACATGTAAGTACTAAATAAAGAATTTTGCAAATATTTTAAAACTTTTGTTTCAAAATTAGTGTAAAATTGCAGAGTTTTTAAGAAAAGTTAAAAAAATCGAAATGTGTAAAATTTGTGTTTTGCTGCGCAAATACCAACAATATGCGAACTATGTATGTTCGCTCAGAGGGCAGGCGCACATGAACAGAGAGTGTTCCGATTAAAGAGAATTGGAGAGAACTCTAGCGAGTGTTTAGTTAAAGAATCGAAAGTCATGCTGCTCGACGAATCTGATTTCGTTTGGTATGAAGAAAAAAGTGAAAATTCTTTTGTTTTGTGTTGGAAAACAACAGATTTTGTTTACAAACAATGATAAAAGGTATTCGGTATTTAAAGAGTAGTATCTACGCTTCGGGAATTTGGCCAAATACTTTTCAATGAAAGCACAGAATTTTTGAAACATCATGCCGACTCACTGTTATTCCACAAGATTTTCATTTAAACTCAGTTCCAATACATTTTGTGGTTTTTAAGTTCAAAAACTCTTTACTATCTTAAATAAGCAGCAAAAACAAAACATTTTCTTACCGGAAGTTGTTAAAATTTCTCTTTACAATTATTGCCTCGTGGTGAACAACAGCTGTACAGCAGTCGAATTGTTTGGGTTGAATACATACATACATATGTATGCATACACATACACGTATACTATACGTATTTATCTGCATAAACAAATATGTATGTTTGCCTGTAGGTATCGTAACTGTGTGACCCGATTATGCTCAAACCGGTTGGCTTTACAAACAAACTTGTTTACGGTAATAACAGAGTCAGATTACCTGCTCAAAGTGCATACATATGTACGCATTCACATAAGAAAAATATGACCGCAGTGTATCTATTGGTAGTGGTTATGTTTTATATTTGAAATTATCAAAAACATATTTAGTGATAAACAATTAGTTCTTTCGTTCCTAATGCTTTCATTTCATTGTTTTTTTTATTCCTTCGAATTAAAAATATTACAGATTAGCCAAGGAACTTACATGTTTATAAACAGATGTGGACATAACGCCTCGATTCCTAACCAATCGAAGCATAACCTCGAGTGCTTAAAAGAACCGTTGGAATTGGGAATGCAAAATTTCGTTCACTTTCATTTCCTATTTGATTTCAGTTCGAGGAGTTTAAATACAGTAAAATAATTTATTTCCTCTTCCATCCGCCTATTTCCGAGAGAACACAAATAAAGTAGAGTAAATTTAGTCATACATACATACGTACATACATATGTACATACATATACATATGTACGTATGTATGTATGTTTGATACTTGCCAAGATCAAAGTATCACATTGGCTTCATTTATTCAAATATATTTACGTACATTTCTGTACGTATTTGTGAATAAATTCTCACTCTGAGTACTTGCTTTCTGAGTAACGATCTCTTCACAACCTGGCTACTCCCGACACAGAGTCTCAAGAGATTTTTGCACACGGCACTTCTGGTATCACACTGTTCTGTATATCCCCTTTCTCTTTGCTATGATTTCTAAAGCTGACGTTTTCATTGGTCAAGCCATTGTGGGAACGTGTGAATCTAGACTCAGATGTTGTTGCTATTTGAATGCTTATTTCCTATTTATGTACATATGTACATATGTACATACATACATGTGCCAATTTTAGTTCTTTGCGAAATAAATATTTGTAATTATGCGCTAAATTCATTTGAGACGCTGCAAGTTGTAATCCAATCGATTGGCTTTGGTTGGTACTGAGGGTGAAGAGGTAGGGTGGCTTTGCATTGATAATAAACTAATTGACTCCACATGTACATACATTTTTATAAACAGGCTTTTGACATTGAAAAGTTGAATTATTATTGGACATACATACATGTCAGAGAACGTTATGTTATACGTTCTCTGTACATGTGTACATTCATAAATACATGTTAAATATTTAAAACATTTAGTTTTTCCATTTATAATAGCAAAGCTGCAATACATTTGAAATATAACGTTTTTCTACTTTGCAGGTCGCCTGGAACAGCAACGAATACCGACCGAATGGATTGGTCTTAATGACAAAACCGGACAATGTTTGGAAGAAATGCGCAAGCAAATCCAAATGGAAATCAATGCCTCCAACATCTATTTGGCCATGGCTGCTCACTTCTCTCGTGATGTGGTCAATCGTCCCGGCTTCGCTGAACACTTCTTTAAATCGGCTCGCGAGGAGCGTGAACATGGCTCGAAACTCATTGAATACCTGTCCATGCGTGGTCAATTGACTGAGAGCGTCACCGACTTAATTCAACTTATTGTAAGTACAAATATTCAAACATTTTAAATTAATATTTTCTAACCTCATTTAAAATATTCCTAACAACAATTAACAAATTGTACATTACATTAATCTCTTTCGAACATTTTCTCCGTTACAGGATGTTGACGTTAAAGTAGAAAGCGGTGCTGATGCCCTCCGCCAAGCGCTCGAACTGGAAACCAAGGTCACCAAGAGCATTCGCTCTTTGATCAAGACCTGCGAGAAGTCACCCAACTGGTATCACTTGGTCGACTGGCTAACCGGTGAATTCTTGGAGGAACAACTTACCGGACAACGCGATTTGGCTGGCAAGTTGAGCACTCTCTCGAAGATGATGGCCTCCCAGGGCGCTTTGGGCGAATTCTTGTTCGATAAGCAACTGTAAATTACATTCTTACCAAATTCAACTCTAAACATAGTCATCAAATGGTCATTTTCTTCATTAAAAGAAAGAAAAAAAAACTTGAAATAACTTCGACCATTCAGAGTGAAAGCCACAAGTGGCGTGAAGGGAGAGCTGTGCTTATACAAACAAACTAAATAAATAAGTTATGAAATTACATGTGTATGGATTGAAATTATGAAAAATAGTATTCTTTTTTGCATTATTGTGTTCTATTACAATATTCTTATAAAAAACTGTATTAAAAATCGGAAATGAAATCAAACTATAGTTTCTAGTTTCTTCTAAAGATTCAAAATTGTTCAGAGCCTTCAATTACTTATCATTTGCATGAACTTCAAATAAATTACGGAATTTTTAAGCACAGAAACAGTGAGGCAATTAAAGCATTTAATTATTTTATTTTGATTTTCATTGGGCCAAAAAAAAAAGGTAACGGATTTTTCATTTCTTTATAAATAGCTTTCATATTCATAAAAGTGCCATTGAATAAAACATATTAATTTATCTAATGAAGTCTATTTAAACAAATTTATAATGCGTTCGCTAAGCATCATAAATTAATTTGCTATTAGAGCTGAGCTGAGGAGAAATATTTCAATTACTTTTTTTATCACTACACAAATTTGTATGTGCGAACAAATTAGTAAATAAATAAAATGTGTCTACTACAATTTAAAGTAGATCAGAATAAACACGAGTTTCACTTATAAACAGATTTCTTGGAAATATCAAAAAAAAAAATGTAGAATTTGACAGTTGGGCATTTTCTCTTCAATTAAGATGATGATTAATTCTTTAGTATTTATGTACATACGTGTACATATGGTTATGTTTTTCGTATGTGTGTGGTGCACATATGAAAGTTTTTTTCGTTGATCAGATGGGCAGTAACAATTTTTACCAAACTTGGCTGGATCGTGTTAGCTGAGCCAAAAACTCAGTAAAAATTGGTAACGAAATGGAAATAATATTCATTCTTTAATATGAATCAATAATAAAATAACTGGTTAAATGTAATGCTGTTTTATTTAACTGAACAATATCAGGGATTCCAACAATAGTAGAGGCACTCGTTAAACGCAAATGTGGTGGCGGTGGAATGGAATCATCGCCCGCACACCTCCCATCCTTGAGAAATTAGAAGTTCGGAATCGGAAGGCATGGCAAATTTATTTTGGATTCCTTTAATTTACTGGAAAGCGGTGTCGACCAAATGAGCCGCAAAGCATTGCAAAGTTGTTGCAACGGTCACAGTGACGATAATGGATCCTCAGGCTTCCGGAACCGACGGCGATGCACAAAATGAAATATTCGTGGCGTTTAGAAGAAAAATAAACACAATCGAATAAATGGAAAATTAATTTAAATAAAAAATTACGGTAAATCTTCTGATTATGGTCGCCCCTCGGCAGGGAATGTCAACCAGAATAGAAAGTTACGACAAGAGCGAAATTTGTTCAATTTTGTGGGTTGCCGAAGATTTTAAAATAAATTTGCATAATTTTATCTATAAAACAACATACAATTCAACTATAAAATGTTAAACCTTGCAGTAAATTTTTTTTTAAGTTAATACCAATCACAATGAATGTTGTTTCAAAAAAAAAAAAAATTTCTACAGCCAGCAACACTAACTTTTGGCGTCATGTAATACGAGAAAATAATGCCAAAAACGCTAGCAATTATCAGAACTCAAAGCGAACGTGAATTTTAATAAAATATTTAATAGAAAAACCGACTTTCGCACATTTTCTTTGTCTGCTAAAGGCTTTTGGGAAGTGGATAATCCCTGTCTTGTGAATAATAGTGTTTAAAAATTCGAAGCGGTGAAGAAGTGTGCTGTGGGATAAAACCAAGATAAGGTATTGTAAAATATTCTCTAACCGTCTCATATTGTGAATTTAATGGTAAAATTTTTTGGGCTGAAAATTTGAAGTTTTGGCATTAGAAAACTTGAATTCATCGGTACCTATTAAATTTGTGAAAAGCTCTTATTCACAGGCGGCGGTACTCGGCCACCTCGACCTTGGTTTGATCAAAACACCGCACAATAGCTTTTTTTAGCTAATTTTTGTGAAATTTTTTTAATAAAAAAGGTTGAGTTTCTTATTTATAAAAAATTTTCATATATTTACATACATAAAGAATAACAACTGCTTTTTTTATTATGTAGAATCAAATCCCACCCACTATACATATATATACATATGTATGACTGTTGTCGTAACCTTGTATTCTTTATACCTTGAAATACTGGCAAATTTTTACTGAATCCTGTTCGGTGAAAACTCAGTACATTTTTCTCTTTTGGAAAGTAACACATCCTACTCTCTCAATTTACGAGCTGGTTAATACTGTATTTCTCAACGAACGCAGCCATTGTTATTGTAGTTGTTGTCGTAACCGCAAAAATATTCTCTAAAGTAGGTTAGGGGAAATGTTGCGGGAGTGACAGTGGCCGGATAAAAATAGGGGTATAAGGGTTCCGGTGGTTTTAAGGCGCCACTTACGACAGGTATGCCTTACCGCGTGTAAATTCTTTAACCCATACCCGCAAGGGGCTCTTATAAAGGTTCGCCAACCCCGCTTAAGAGCAGGCGATACTAGCCTAAGTCATTGAGGCTGTCTAACGTGAGGTCCAGGAAAAGGCCTTAAAGTAAATTGGTTATAGGGTGCAAAGCTGGTCCTACGCACCGGAGTTAAGGCAGATTATATTCGGCCAAGGGCTGTCCCCCTTTCGTTGATGTAACCTCGTTTAGGTTATCAGGTAGTTCTAAGATTTCATGTTGTTTTGAATGGCTTCTTAGCGCCCTTAAGCCGCAACCTTTTGGCCCCATTACCCTACTGCTCTTCAGCGTAAAAAATGTTGCCTCTACCAGTCTAGCGAGAAATATGGTGGGAAATATACAAAGATTTATTTCAAAATGATGAGAACAAAAGAAACACAATTCAGAGGTTACCATTATATGTAACACCTGATTTTCTCAGCAAAAAGTTTACGCCTCCAGGATGTCGTCCTAAACTGTATGAACTTTATATTCAAGAATAAATCGATCATCCATGAGTTAAGTGCTTGCTATGGCTATCGTAACAGATCACGGGGAAACTATACACAATACGTGGAATGAGGCTTATCTGGCCACCCCATGTGTTCACCCTAATAATTTTGAGTTTCTTCGAGTTAATATACTAAATATGCCATATTGACTTGTAAAGGATTAAAATGTTGCATCTTTTTTGCTTTCAACCATCAAGGCTATTGCAATAGATGTGAAAGAAACTGCCCAATTGAAGACTATTAACCCTTCAACGTCAACTTTTGCTCGCACACAAAAGGAATAATTTATAAGTTAGGTAAAAATGTGTCTTCGGCAGCTCAGCAAGGGCTCTCCCTTTGACCCAATCACAACTAATCGCAACTACAACAAATAGAGGCACAGGGCATGTGTGGAATTATGATAACCCGTTACAGCTGTCAGTTTGCTGTCAATCTATTGATGCATGCACACAATCATGCATAAATAATATTAATAAAAGAACGAAAGGAGAGGATGCAACGAGGGGAAGGTGAAAGCGTTGACAACCATTTGCCATTATCAATACAAATTTCTGGAGAATTGGGCATTAAGAGGCGTTTGGCCATTTGCGCCTCCATTCACCAACTTGTACGTGACCACAAATTCAATTCCAAAGCCCGTTATACATACATACATATGTACATATTTATTTACGAGTTTTCAAAATAATCAAAAATAGTTGACACGAGGTCAGCCCAGCGATTGCTCTTACGACTTTTTTATGTGGAAATATAAAGAGGGTTTATTTATTTTTTTAAATTACAAGCACTTACATACACATGTACATACATGTGTACCAATGTGTGAATCTTTGAATTCGATAATTGGCTTTAATACGCTTGAAGTTACACGTGAAGAGTTTATGAAAAATTGCCGCAATAGAACCATTTGTTACTTGAAAGTTGGACAGAATGGCATCATTAATCGTAATAGGGATTTGTCTGTTTGCTAACACGCAAGCACACATGTGTACATACTCGTATGTAGTAACTTGAGACTTTTTTTTAATAAATTGCCAGTGGATAAATATGTAGGGATGTGAAGAGGTCTAGTCAAACTTTTTAATTTTCTCTTTCCAAATAATAAATATTGATAATGAATATCGCCTACTTCCTAGTTAAGTATTCTTCTTCTTCCTATTAATTGGTGTGAGCACCGCTTTCCCGATTATAGCCGAATCAACGAGCGTAGCCGCTGTCTCCTTATTCGCTGTACTAAATCAATGTGACCGTAACCCGTACAGCTCATGCTACCTTTGTCTGCGGTATTAGCTGTTCCCTACCTTTCTCTCTAAAACTCCCAGAGCTGATTCATCGGATGTCGACATCCTATACAGCAGGACAGGAATGCAGTTGCAAACTTGAGGAGTTTGATTTTAGTTCTTTGATTCGTTGAGAGAGAGAGGACTTTACTTTTCAATTGCTTACTCAGTCCGAAGTAGCACCCGTTGGCAAGAGTGATTCTGCGTTGGATTTCCATGCTGACATTGTTATTGGTGTTAATCCTGACACCTAGATAGACCAAATTATATACGACCTCTACTGGCTGTCAATAGTGAAGTGGGAGCCAAGCCATAAATGCGCCGATTGTTAGTTTGTTGACAGGAAATATTTGTCAAGTTAAGGAAGGCATAACTGATGGTCCGGTTGTTGAGGTCTATGATTACATTGTCATCAGCATACACAACTAGTTGTATACGATTGAAGAAATGGCATAATAAGGAGTCACTCTGACTGAAACCTCGTTTGACACCGGAGAGCTCTGCCGGTAAGCCATCGGCTTCCACAGATTATTTTTAAGCACTTAATCACTATTCGTATGTGATCATAGTCGGGTAAGGATTCAATATCTCCGAGTGTTGCATTTTCATTGTCATTTAGCAGGTCAGAGAAGAATTCGCTCCATGCAACAAGTAAGCCCTTAGGCATCGGCCACTAGGTTTCCACATTGATTCCATCATAAGTATGTTGCGATCTTGAAACCTTCATCATTTCATAGAATTTTTGAGCGTTACCCTTGTGGCCCGACTTCTTAAGCTTCTCATACTCATGCTTATCGAACATTGTTTTCCAGTACAGTTCGAAATACTCATCGTACCAATACTTTCTCTGGCACGGCCGAAGACCAATTGTTTCCATGCCAGCAGTGACTAAGGAACTTGAGATGCAGTTTCACAGTTTCCTTATATCTTGATGCTGGTGAGTGTCCTCAAAAAGCACAAGTGAGGTTCGAGTAGAAACTGTTTCTCTGTCCTTTGTGATTGCAGCTTTCCTTATATCTTGATGCTGGTGAGTGTCCTCAAAAAGCACAAGTGAGGTTCGAGTAGAAACTGTTTCTCTGTCCTTTGTGATTGCAGCTTTTCGACGTCGATCCTTCCTTGTGTAAGACAGGCTCTTAACTTGGAGGCGACATTCTAGCTAGAAAGATGCAGCTGAAGTTTAAGTTTTCCAATTTGTATTGGCTTAAAGCGAGAAATGTGGACTCAGCCATGGAAACAAAGTCCTTCTTTGTAAAGAGACTAAAAATCCGATATGGATGTATGGAATCCAGTTATGGGGACACAGCTTGCGCGACGAATTTGGATATAATACAAAGATTTCAATAAAAAAAGTTAAGAATAATATCGGGCCCAACAACGTGAGGTATGTGGACAATTGTATTTTCAAATGCTCATTTGCAGTTTTTTTGAGAATTAATACTGTTTTCAGTAAAGAATTTTTTAATCCATATTTCCTCTCAGTTCCTCTGGGCGTGCTTGTTGTTGGGTGGAATACCGTGCCTACGTGCAACTGGTCATTGCACTAACTTAATCCTTATCTAACAATGGAGTTGAAGAAGGTGAATACCTATTAGAGATAAAAGTGAAAATGTCAAAAGACAGCAAATAGTTGAGGTTTGTGCGAGTTCGAAAAGTATTTATAAACGTCTATGTATATACACGTGCATGTACGAGTATACGGTCAGTGTCCAGTTGAATCATACTGAAAGTACATACGACCCACATGAAAAACGTAATAAGTCAAAACTTGGTGTTGGGGATCAATGCACACAAATGTCATGCAGATACGGACGCAAATATATATGTACACACATACGTAGTCATATATGAGGCATACTTACTCATATAAAAGAGTGAAAAGTTGTGGTAATTACAAAAGTTTGCTAAGAAATCTTAATAAAATAGCCGCGAGCTTGACAGGCACCAAAGACAGTGCACGAAGGACCAAAGGACGAATTCCCAAAATGACCATAAGTGTAGACTTTTGATAAATGCCCACAACCCATATACTTTAATTCAGCCATACATAAAGATGGTTATAAGTAAAATATTTGTGGCTGTGTGTGCAACCTTTGGTCTGTTGGTAAATAAATTTGCGAATAAAAATTAGAAAATAGGCAAATAGGCAAACGCACATAAATAAAGTCGTTAAATAAAACATGACAATATTCTACAACAAACACGATAAATCAAAGGGTATTACATGCTCATAAACATTAAACGTATGAGTGCCCATTTAATGGCCACACACATACACACCCGCATACACATACCCAAATACCACACACGCACACACACACACATATATATAAATATACATATAGTACAACCATTCACACCCAAATAAGACATGCAATCGAGGTACTGATTGAACGGCATGCTCAGGATTCTTAAATCTCGCCGAACCCTTTCGTTCGAGAATTCCACACGCGCCGCCAGAATATCTCACTTCACATTATCCTGCCTGAGCAGATGCTTCTGAATGTGTGTAGGTGTGAGCATCGTC